TGTCACAGAGGCCTCGGTGTACTCAGGAGTTTGTACAGAGATCTTCAAAAGAGAGTGTGAGATCTTCCAGAAACCAGTCTACTGCTTTGTTCATCTAAGTGTTCAGGAGTTTCTGGCTGCAATCTACATGTTCTATTGCTTTACCAACAGGAATACAAAGGTTCTGAAGGACTTCCTGAAGAATAATCAAATGGACACAATTCTGAAGTCTTATTTTGAGATGATTTCCACGTTGTTTGGAATTCACACGACATCCCTGAGTTTCTTTCTGATGAAAGTCCTGGAGAAATCCCTCCTCAGTGAAAATGGCCACCTGGACCTGTTTGTTCGCTTCCTTCATGGCCTCTCTCTGGAGTCCAACCAGAGACTCTTAGGAGGTCTGCTGGGACAGACAAAGATCCGTCCAGAAGCCATCCAGAGAGTCATAAAGAACCTGAAGGAGATGAACATAACTTCAGTCTCTCCTGACAGAAGCATCAACATCTTCCAGTGTCTGATGGAGATGAAGGAGCTCTCAGTTCATCAGGACATCCAAGAGTTCCTGAAGTCAGAGAACAGATCAGAGAAGAAGCTCTCAGAGATCCACTGCTCAGCTCTGGCCCACATGCTGCAGATGTCAGAGGAGGTTCTGGATGAGTTGGACCTGAAGAAGTACAAAACATCAGAGAAGGGACGATGGAGGCTGATCCCAGCTGTGAGGAACTGCAGAAAGGCTCAGTAAGTCCATGATGATGATAAWGTTTTGAACAAACCAGTGGATCATACTGAAGGATATTTTGTGGTTAATCAACTGAATTTTAGACACAGTCTTATATTATATAGTTAGGCCCATATGTCCATATGTTTGGATTATGATTTAGGTATCAGAATGTAGCTGTGGAGCGTGATTAGTGAGATGTATTGGGCCAAGACCAAGCCGAGTTGAACCGTGTACAAGAGCGTCCGTGGAGATTGTGTGCCGAGGCTGTCACTGTTAACAGTGAACACCAGAGGGCGCAATGTATCAGGTTTCTTTGAGGCACTGAAATAAGGCGCCGAAATCAGAGTTGTGTTTCGGTCTGTGTACTACCATTGATGTTCACCTCGGTGCCATACCGGAACCGAGTTTCAGTACCCAACCCTACCTACAATGGGGTGCATGGCAGCAGTCCTGTATCCTCTGCAGGCCAGAGGGTTGAGGATTCTGCCCTATTTGGACAACTGGCTGATCTGTGCACCAACAAGAGCTYAGGCCACTGCAGACACACAAGAGGTGCTCAGTCTATTGGGTCTTCGCGTGATCTGGGCGAAGAGCAACCTTGTTTCATCTCAGGAGGTCACTTTTATCGGCATTGTGTTGAACTCTCCCATGATGACTGCTTGCCCATCACCAGAGTGTGTCAGTGGGATTCTGCAAATGCTACCCTCCTTCCTGCCAGGCTATTCACCCCCACACCCCATTGCTTACCTTTGCCTTTTGGGCAGGTTAACTGCTGCATTCACAGTGGTTCCACTAGGTCTGTTGTCACTGCGCCACCTACAGATGTGAATAAACAGCCTGCGGCTGGATCWGACTTGTGTGGTACATCGGCGCAGAAGGTTGCAGGTGTCCCCTCAGTGTCTTCTGTCAGTGGCTCAATGGCGAGATGCAGTGTTCATGACACAAGGGGTTCCACTGGTCTCTCTGCCATCTCGGAGAGAGGTTGTGTAATCCTCCACGGGATGGGGGCATCATAGTGGCGACAGACCATCCAGAGGACATGGTCTCTGAGGCAGATGGCAAGACACATCAAGGCCTTGGTGTTGGAAGCTGTGCAGCTAGCACTGAAGCACTTCCTCCCTGGCCTATGCGGCAAGCATGTCCTGGTACGATCCAACCATAGGTATCATAACAATAGTAAGTGAAGGGGACGTGTCCTCCCCCCTTTTCAAAAGTATCCATTTGGACCCCTCTACATTCTTCTCATCAATTCACCCAGCGCTGTTTTTGTTAGGCGACTTGATGAAAGAATCCATTCTGCTTGATTGATAGGAGAAAACTCATCACACTAAAAGTCCGCTCCAGGTTTTCCTGGTTACCTCCAGTCAGCACCGCAGCCTGCAGCAGGTACCAGTGGGAACGAGCAGCCGGAGTCGGAGATGACAGGCGTCAGACTACCTCCATCGGGTTAGAGGAAGGTGGGAGGAAGATGATGGTGAATACCAGGAGTGCAAATATTCAACCTAAAACTAACTTCTAGCTGCTTGTAGAAGGCAGTGTGTGTGATTGTATCCCTCCACAGGCACAGGACATTAGGAGATGAGGGACAAGGTTGCTGATGCTGTTTCAGCTGACCTGACGACTCTTAATCTGGGCTGCCCCCCTCTTTGCCAGCCTCAGGGCAGCCCACATTCCAGGAATGCAGAATGGGCTGGTCGATTTTCAATCTCGGGAGCGCCCACCTCTGGGGAAGTGGAGGCTCCATCCGAAAGTAGTGGAGGACATTTGGCGGAGGTACGGCAGGGTAGCTGTGGACTTGTTCGCCTCCCAAGAGACAGCACATTGCCCACTCTGGTTCTCTCTAGCGGACAGTACCAGTCCCCTGGGTCAGGATGAACTGGCACACAATTGGCCCAAAGTGCTCCTTTATGCTTTTCTGCCACTTCCCCTGATAGCCCCAACACTTCTGAGGGTCCTTCAGGAGGGGCATCGAGTTCTCCTAGTGGTCCCCCTCTAGCTCTGGAGAATCTGGTTTCCACTGCTGCACAGGCTCTGTTGCAGCTCTCCAATGCCGCTCTCCAATGCTGCTCCTGTCACAGCTGGGGGATCGTATCATGCACCCCAATCCTGGTCACCTTTGACTCTGGGTTTGGGCATTACAGGGCCTGGCCTGCCTTCTCCGACTATGATAGAGAGGTTGGATATACAATAAGTAATGCAAGGGCCCCTTCCACTCGGCTGGTGTATACTTACAAGTGGAGGGTTTTTAGCAGCTGGTGTTGGTCTAGACGTGAGGATCCTGTGCATTGTCCTGTTTCAGTTATTCTAGTCTTCTTTCAGGAGCTGCTTTTGAAAGGTCGATCTCCATCCACTCTGAAGGTTTATGTCGCTGCCATCTCTTGCTGGCACGAGGGTGTCAAGAGAGAAACTATAGGCCGTAACAAGGATATTTCCTTGTTTTTTGAGGGGCACACAACGTTTGCATTCCCCCACTCGCCTTGTCGTGCCTGTGTGGGATCTCTCGCTGGTCCTCGATGCCCTGTGATCTGCTCCATTTGAGCCTTTGATGGAGATAAGCCTTAAGAGTTTGTCAAAAAAGACTGCATTCCTCCTGGCCATGGCTTCAGCCAAACGTGTAGGTGAGCTTCATGGGTTTTTGGTTTACGAGTCCTGCTGCAGACGGAATCCGGCTGGTTCAGGTGTCACTCTCTGGCCTAATGCAGCATTCCTGTCCAAAGTGGCCTTGTCTGTGCCACTCTCTACCTCTCCAGCTTGCTCGTTTTGAAACAGGTAGCGCTAGTGAGCCTCTCTGCCCTGTTCAAGCTCTGGAAGCATACATCAGATGGACAGCTACTCTGCAACAGCCTGATAGTTTATTTCTGTGCTACGCGGGGCCTTGCAAAGGGCAGGCTCTTTCAAAACAGCATCTTGCTTGCTGGATTGTTGATGGGATGAGCGAGTACACCACTATCTGTATCTGTATCTGTTCAACCATCTAAATTACCTGTATCTGTACTCGGAGTGGACGGGGTCTAAACCGGATGTGGGTGTGGCTTAACCGGAAGTTGGCGGGGCTTAAATCTGTACATTATTTTAAGTCTGAAAATGATATAGATTGATCAGAAGTTTCTATATGTATTGTTTGTTTGAATGTTATTTACAGAAMAGCTTCAAAAATGAGATTCAAATCATTGTTTTTAATCACAAAACTTAAAAATAATTCATGTTCTGAGTTTAAAAAAGCTTGTTCTGTAATAGTTTAAGTGCCTGAATGAATACAACTCATGCAGTAGGAAATTATGAACT